TTTCCACTCTATTGTACACAGCTCTATGCATGCTGTCAGTTATTACAGAAGACTTCAGGAGAACACTGAATGCGAAAGCAAATGTAAAGTTCTTTATAAAATCCAGACAAATAAAAGGCTATTTCGGAAACAAAGAAGATATCTCACAGTTTGGCCAGAATTTTGAAACTGTGCTTTAACAGTAGTAAAAAGGCCAAACTGTAAGCCGGCACAGCTTTCAGGTTCAGTCAAAGGAGGCTCAACAGTAAGACACAGGCTCTTACTCTGCACTGAATTCCTACTCTGCAAAACTACGCTGTTGGCTGTAGGGAATTAAAATGCAGAAACCAAATTCCTCTACAAACTTTTCCGAGTTCCTCATTATAACTCAAAGTAGTCAAAGAAACTTCTACCCATGACTTACAAGTATTAAAGTTTATTTATAGAAGTCATACTTCCTCTGTTTTTCATGCCTGAACATGTCAGAACATTTTTTAAAAATGCCTGAACATTGAAGACAGAACCCCTGGCTCTTACCCATTTCAACCATTACTACAAATCTCACATTTACTCCTCTCCCTGCGCAGATCTACTATTTAAAGTGTGGCCACCTCGTGGCCCAAGACAATAAGCTTGATGACCAGCACAGAATCAGAGAATATACTGTATCACTTAGACCGCCATCATAACGTTAGCTTTTTCTTGAGGACTTCACATTTAATATTAATCATTTTGCCTTCCTTAATTTCTAAACTTTAACACAGTAACAACAAATTTTGTATGGAGGCAGACTACCCCTTTTAAAAAAGGAACATGACATAGTAAGGCCTGACCTGACTGTAGAAGTTCGTCAAGGTTGTCCTTTTGCAGCAGCTGATCAAGTGCAAGATGAGGTAGATATCCTAAAATGCAAAGTGAATACACCGCTTTCAGCAGTTCCGTGTTGGAAATATGGGGGAGGTACTTATTCAAGCAGCTATGAAGAGTCTCAAAAAACCTTTTCCAAAAGAAGAAGAAAAATATCAAATACACAAATAAGAAATATAGAAAACGCAGATTTCAAACCAAACTACAAGCTAGAAGTCCTTTTCACCTTGATTAATCATATGTTGTGTAATCCAACATTAACAGACTTAGTAGTCTGGTCAATCTAGAACCAAGAAGGTCTGTATTTTCAATTGTACTGAGAAAAATTACTATGTAGAAAAAATTACTAACAGACACAGCAAGTTTAACATACAGATAAATAAAACAGGACTATGACTTCTTTCACAAGTGAAATCAGTTTCCATTCCAAATATGACCCTATAAAGATTATGTAACAGATTACCAGGCTTTCTAAACCAAAACCTACAGATGCTTTTGGCCTCTGGGAACATAGTTGAGTTGTGAATAAACTCGGAGAACTATCAAAAGATATTTCAAGTTCAGGAATTCCGGGTCTTCTGTCACCTTCTCAGCAAAAATATCCATCAGTTCACTAGGCTGGAAGCCAAGCATCTCGAAGGCAGAGAGAAAAAGGATAATCTAAAACAGAAGAAACTTGTTTAAAGTCAAGAAATAAAGTCAGTGAAATGGATCATAATGGACATTTTTAATGGAAACAAACTTTTCAAATTGTAACATCCCTTTTATTTTCTATTTCTACAAGTTAATGAATAGAAGAGCATTTTAAAAATGTAATTATGCCAACTTCATCAGAGTGGTATTCCTAAAATCTGCTTACTGAGGATCAAAGATAACATGAAGAAAGATAAAATGGAAACCACCAGAAACTGCCTATTCTACTGGTACTGGTATCATTCAGTCTCAACCTCACCTGTCTTTTGTCCCAAAGGTAGACAGTGGAAGTCACATAGTTTGCTACTGCTGAGAACAATTTTACATTACGGTACTGGAGATTGT